CAGCTGTAGAGTCTGAGGTTGCCCCAGGCTGATCCATCCGTAAGAGAGAAACTAGGCCCAGAACTCTCTAGCCCACTCCCCAGCCCTACCTTCTCTTCCTGGCTTCACGGCTTCTTTTTAAAATATGTTCTGTATTTATCAAACCCGATGTGGAAAATACACCTATAGAAAGAAAACTGGTAAATAAACCAAGCATCCCACCTAGATTTGGGGAGTAGCTGGAGCAAGGGGGTCCCTGTACACACTAGACCTTGAAAACAAAAACAAGAAATCAAAACTGAGCGGAACGTTTGTATATGCAGAAGATCGGCACTTTTGTGGATAGGTGAAACTGCGCTTTCTGGCCTATTCTCAAGAATGCATAGCTGTAACCTTGCAGGGTTGTGGGGGGAGGCAGTGTGACGACACTCAAGATGGAAATTTTCTGCAATCCATGTGTGCAATTGCTGGGTAGACCATGTTCATGAGTGGCTCCCTTAAGAAACAGCATTAGGGGTTGGGGATTTAGCTCAGTGGTAGAGTGCTTGCCTGTCAAGCACAAGGCCCTGGGTTTGGTCCTCAGCTCTGAAAAAAAAAAAAAAAAAGGAAAAAAAGAAAAAGAAACAGCATTAATGAGAATCAGCATTTATCCCAGCACTATGAAATACATACATACATACCAGTGATGTCATTTTATCACAAGAGTGCTCACAGGCATCATGATCCTGTTGAACACAGGTGATACTCAGCCAGTGTGCCCCAGAGTGGCTGTCATCTTATGTCGTCATCCTGAGATAATACTCCGAATGTCACCTGTCTGGATCCTTCACTCCCTCCACTTTACTACGGTGCCAATATTCCTTGAAATAACTTTAAAAGCAAACCACATGTGTTTGGCAAAATGGGCAAAAATTTCCTCCCTGAGTATGTAAAGGGCACTCCTGGGCTATCTTCAGAAGAGAAACAAGGGAAGGTCCATTGGTTTCCTAGGGCCATAATAAATTACCTTGACTTGGAGGCCTTAAAGTCAAGGAAACAGATTACCACACTACTCTGGAGCCTGGGGGGTCCCAGGTCGGGGGGTCAGTAGGTATGGCTCCTTCTGAAGGTTGAGAAAGGATGTTTATCCAAATACGATCACCTCAGGCAGCACTGGTCTCTTCTTATTTTTTACAGCTCAGTGTCTGTCCATGTTTCTTTTTATAAAGGCACTTGGATTGAGGCCTGTTCCAACACCTCCTCTTTAAAAAAAAATATTAATATTACATTATTTCCCTCCCCTCTTCCCTCTAACCCTCTCACGCCTTCTCCCAAATGTATGGCCTCTTTGTCTTTAATTAGTATTGTTATATGTGTGTGTGTGTGTAAATATATAGACACAGCCTGCTGAGTCTGCTTAGTGTTACTTGTATGTCTATGTTTTTTTAGGGGTCACTACTTAATACCGGATAACCAATTAGAGGGCTCATCCCCGGGGATGACTAATCCTTCCTGCCTCAGCAGTCCTTAGCTGCTTATCCTCTTCACTGAGGGGTGGACCCTTGAGGTCCCCCCCCCACCATGTTAGGATGTTAGTTAGCGTTGGAATTGGTCAGATCCTGTTTAGGCAGCCATACTGTTGGGATTTCATGAATGTAGCTTCCCAGTTATATCAAGACACACTCTTCCAGCAGACTTCCTGGTCCTGTATCTCTTAGACTCTCTCTGTCCTTTCTTCCTTGATGGCTCCCTGAGCCTTAGAGATGGGGTAGTATTGTGGATGTATCAGCTGGGGCTGGGTACCACATGATCAGTTGTTTTCTACATTTTGACCAGTTGTGGCTTTCTGTAATGGTCTCCAATGACCTTCTCTCAATTAAATTGACACTTTTTTTTTAAAACCTCTAAATAAGATCACATTTGCAGGTATTGAGGATTAGGATTCTCACATATCT